GGGGGGGGGGGGGGGGGGGTAAAAGCAAGGTAAAAGAACCCTGCGTGAAAAGTATTTTAACTAGTGGTAGAACATAGGAAATACTAGTTATGACATCAGCATTAAGGTATCACACACAATGTCCAGTCATCCCAAAGACAAGCATTTAGAACACTGTGAGTCTGGAGCTGTACCTCTCCTTATATCTACCCATCTTACTGCTTGGACCGTGACGACGTGGCTTTGAAGAACTTTGCTAAATAGTCTCTTGACTAATCTCAGGAGGAAAGAGAATATGCTGAGAAAATTATGAAGCTGCAGAACCAAAGAGGTGGCTGAATCTTCTTTCAAAAGGAAATCAAGAAACTGGACCATGATGTCTGAGAGTGTGCTGAACACAGACTGAGTGTGCATTACACTTGGAAAAGAGCATCAATCAGCCACTACTGGAACTACACACAGTGGACCCTGACAAAAACGATCTCCACCTGTGTGACTTTACGGAGACTCATTATCTGAACGAAGAGGTGAAATCCATCAAAGACCTGCATGACCACCTAACCAATCTGTGCAAGAAGGGGGTCCCTGAATCCGGCACAGCAGAGGCTCTCTTTGACAAGCACACCCTTAGAGGCAATGATGGCAGAGCTGAGTCTTAGGCCATAGCCATGGAGGTGTAACTAAGCAGGACGCTTTGGGACCTTCCCGGGACAGACCCCTCACCCATATCCTCTGCTGGAGCTCCTCTCTGAAGTACCCAGATAACAGGAGCTGATGCACATTTCCGGAGTTGTTTTGCAGATGCTAAAACCACCACCAGATGGAAGAAATTAACTACTTGAGGTCATACATGGTCATGACTATGTAGCCCACAGACCTACTGGTAATGTTAACCCCTGTGACACCGCCCTGTTCCCTCACCATCAACCAAGCAGAGAAATGTGTGCAAGCTGATCACACACTCTGGGACTCCCCTCCCTCACCTGGTGTTTAAAAATGCTTTCCCGAAACCCATCTGGGAGTTCGGGTGTTTTGAGCACTAATTGCCCTGGGTTCATTGCTTGGCGCCTGCACTAAACGCTGCACTTTCCTTCACCACAGCCAGATGTCAGACTGGCTTTACGGCACATGGGTGAGCAGACCCAAGTTTGGTTCAGTAACAGGGGGTGACTGACATCCCTGGTCCCCAAAGCAGTACATGCATGTTGGGGTTACTTTGACTTTTTCTATAAATTGTACTAAAATATTCACTTAGATTCTCTCATTCATATCATTCCTCCGAATAAAGTAATTTGGTACCTACTCCCCACCCCCCACAAAACAAAATAAAACAAAACCATGAGGCTACCTGCCATCAAAGAAGAGGAACTTCCCCCGTCCGTTCTTTTCTCCGTGAATGAAGTTGCCCTCAAATCTGTCTGTGGAGGAGTAGGTGACTGTGCAGAAGCCGTGCGGTAATCCATCATCATCCAGGTGCCCTGGAGAAAGGGAACCACAAGGCAAACCTTAACATCTTCCACGCTCACCCACCATCATCTGTGCTCAGATGCTGCCAGCAAGTGCCCCGTGCAGCTCAAGGGTCCCTTCCCTGCCTGAGGGGAGAGCGAACACCAAGGTTTCTCTGCCCGCATCAACTCCGCTCTTAGGTACACTTTAGAAAGGACGGGTCCACAATTAGAGGGCCTTAGACACGTGTAAGGTTATGAACCAAAACCATGCTCATATTTCACTGGGGACTGAGAGTTATTCTCAATAATAACACCTGCAGTGTGAGTTTCAGTTGACCCGGTATTTCCCCACAGGGTACTGCTCACGTTTGGAATTAATGTCCCCGAACTCTCATGCTTAACGGAAACACAGCTGAGATGGCACACTGTCTTGGCAATAAGTTACCTGGTTCTAGATCTGAGTATACAATACGACTTCATACATCATTATATGGTATGTGGAGCACTGCTAGCCAGGCGCCCTCTGAAAAGGATAGAGCCACGTCTTCAAGACTGCCCGAATATCTACACCTCATTGTATGAACACACGAACTCCGAGTCCCTCCAAGCTTAAACTTAAGCTTAACATTGAACTCACTGCTTTACTTTACAAAATCTTTCAGCTTTGAATATTCAGTAATCACCTTGTCATATACCCTCTACCCACTGTGTTCAGAGGGTTTGTGCTTTAAATGTAGCTAGAAGTATCCACATGACCATTTAAGCAGTGATTTTGAACATCAAGAACAATTATTACACTGTGATCTTTAAACTGTGATCTTTAAATTTTACACTGTGATCTTTATTACACTGTGATCTTTAAATCACCGATTGGTGTACGCTTATATTTACGTTTACAGTCAATGTTTAGGTTTTTTATTATTATCTACATATTTCGCAAAACCCAGGAGTCACCTCATTGGTGCCTCCCCAGTCATTCTGGTGAACTAATTTTGCAGAGGCGGGTGAAAATGAAGGCAGCAGTTAAATCTACTGGCTTTCTCCTGGGTTAATGACCTGAGTCATGGATGAAAAAGGTATAAAAGCATTAAATACTGTGTGCAATGCAGGGACATTAAACACTTAAATGTGGCTTCCAGATGGCTCACAGACATTAAAGAAAACACAAACCATTTCACCACAATGAATGCTTTACTCTCCTAAAAGAATTTCTTCTAAAGTGATAAACGAATGTCATCCCTTAGAAGAGACAGGAGGTAAGCTCTCTTATAAAGAACGAAAAAGCTCTTTATTTGTATTATTGATTACATAAACATAAAATAAAAATGAACAAATGCACTGTTTTATTGCTACATCTGATTCTGCATAGAATGAATTACCTAGAATATATTACATTAAAACATGGCTACTTAAATAAATCACAATCAATAAGGTTCCTTTCCTCTTAACCCAAATTTTTTTCTAACAGGGGCCAGGAAATTAATGGTTAGGAGGGAAGTAGGCCACAATTGCTTCCTTCTTGCTTAAAAACCCAAAACTGTACCTGACATAATTCAATGACACTTGAGTCATATGAAGTGATTTGGACAATTATTTTCTAAATATCTGCTGATGGCGTTTCTCTCATTGAAATAAATTATATCTACTTTTTCTCCTTTCATTAAAAAAATACCACTCAGGGCTTCCCTGGTGGCGCAGTGGTTGAGAGTCCGCCTGCCGATGCAGGGAACGCGGGTTCGTGCCCCGGTCCGGGAGGATCCCACATGCCGCGGAGCGGCTGGGCCCGTGAGCCATGGCCGCTGAGCCTGCGCGTCCAGAGTCTGTGCTCCGCAACGGGAGGGGCCACGGCAGTGAGAGGCCCGCGTACCGCAAAAAAAAAAAAAAAAAAACCCCCCCGGGTTAAGTTTAACAGTAATCTGGTATGTTTCAAGCCTTCCTGCGCGTCCGGAGCCTGTGCTCCGCAACGGGAGAGGCCACAACAGTGAGAGGCCCACGTACTGCAAAAAAAAAAAAAAAAAAAAAAAAAATACCACTCAGTGTATAGTTAAAAGCTTTCTTTTATGAAATGTTGCTCAGATCAAATTAACTTTAGCTATTTGCATTCCTACAAATGTAGTATTCCACTTCTGATTTAGATATAACTATCAGAATAATCATTTTAACCTTATATTGAGGTACTTACTAATTTATTGAAAACGCTTTCCCCACAGAAAACAGTTCACAGACTTTATAAAGTTAGTGTTTGATAAAATTAGTTATTCTACTTTAGATCAAGAGAAATATTATGATAAACGTGAACACTAAGGGGAAAAAAAATCCAATGTTAATTCATTTCCACCTTTGCTCAGTTGCAATAGTCCTATCCTATTTCTGAACAAAACACTGCAGGTGCACCCTCAGCAATGGCATTTAGATATTAGAGAAACTTGGAAGCATCACAGAACACACTAAAAGCACTTGAAGGACAGTACTGAACCCCACTGAGATGAAAGCAAAAAAATCAACCCTGCTCCATGAAGGATGCTTATGCCCATGCCTCCTTCCACAGGCCAATGAACAGAAGTCCCATCACCTTGTTAGGCTCTAGGGAGGGAGAACAGAGAAGCTGCTGAATGATGGCTGTTTCTCTGGTGACACTGTGTGTTTAGAAAGAAGGCTCAGACTTGTGACGATTCCCTGCCTTTCTAAAGGTGTTTAGGCTGCTTGTTGTGAGAAATCTCCCTCTATCAGATCACAGCAGAATCCTCTGATTGGCTCATTTGTTTTGTTTTCTTCTCATCCTTCCAAAAGGAGGATGATGTGATCAATGACCAGGATGTGATCAATGACCGGGATCAATGAAAAGGAGCTAAAAGTTAAGGCTTGCGATAATTCAAGACTTCCACCCTGAATATGTAACAGCCGGGGGTGGTGTTCCTAGCAGTAGAACTTTATGTTTAAAACAACAGCCACAACCAAAACAATAACAACTAAGGGACCTTCCAAGGAAAGAAACGTCAGGAAGAGAAGACATTAGGCTGGGACTTCCCTGGTGGAGCAGTGGTTAAGAATCTGCCTGCCAATAAAGGGGATACGGGTTTGAGCCCTGGTCCGGGAAGATCCCACATGCCGCGGAGCAACTAAGCCCGTGAGCCACAACTACTGAACCTGTGCTCTAGAGCCTGCGAGCCACAACTACTGAGCCCGTGTGCCACAACTACTGAAGCCCGCGCACCGCAACGAAAAGTAGCCCCTGCTCGCTGCAGCTAGAGAAAGCCCCCGCGCAGCAACGAAGAACCAATGCAGCCAAAAATAAATTAATTTTAAAAAGAAAAATAAAGAAAAACAAAGAGATTAGGTTGCTGAGACCTCATATCTCCTATCAATGTTAGTGCAAGAGGAGCTTCTGGTACAACTCTTGTTCCGCTGCCATTTGGACAATAAGATCATGTAATATCTGTCTTGCCAGCAACAGTCAATTTAATGGAGAGGGAGACTGATGTACAGAGAAGAAAAAACTGTATACCTACTATGCGTCAGGCACTGGGTTATGTACTTTCCTGTTACCTAAATTAAACCTTACAACCATCCCTCAAATTCCAATCTTATAGATGAGGAAGCCACTGCTATGTGCCCAAGAAACACATTAACTGCTACCCTGAACGCGCTCATGGATGCTGAAGGCCCCTTCCCCCAATCCTCCAATCCCTCTTCTCTCTGGTCAAGGGCAAACTGGCCGAACACCCTTTCTTCCCTGCCGACGGTGGAAGAAACGACCTCTGAAGAGGGCGGTGTTCTCAGGTCCCAGGCAGAGAAGTGGAAGACGCCTTCGTAGTTAGGATAGTTCTCACAGAACCACCAGGATCTTCACCAGCACATCCTGGTGGCGAATGCCTGTCTCTTCCAAGTGTTACCCAATGCAAAGAGAAACGCTAGTCCAGCTTGCTCTGATTGAGATCAATCTGTGCAATGTGCCAAGTCAGCCAACAGCCTTCCGGGCCAATTCCCACTCAACAGAGGTTGAACGCCAACCCAAACAACAAGGAAAACCCACTTGAATGACTGCTCTGTGTTGGGAATGTGGTCCCAGCTCGTGTGCCATATATCTATCTGCAGCACGGTTTTAAATATTGACTGAAGTTAGAGGAAGAGGGAATAAAACATAATCGCCTCACAAGTCTAGTTTTTCACTCTGTTCTAAAGATCATTATCTACTGAACAGAGAGAAAGTTCAATTTTTTCCCCACGGGTTCCCTCAGAGCTTTTTCCTGAACCTGATGAGAGCCAGGCCTGTATTCTATGCAGTGACGGTACCTCTCAGCACAGGAAATTCCCTCTGGATCGGACATCTGGCTGCTTACTGCCTCAGACATATTCACAGGAGGTCTGAGTGTATGTGTATATATGTGTGTGTTTCCCTCAGAACCAGAGGCCCTTACATGCATTGTTGGTTTTGTATAATAGAACTACTTTAAAAAAAAAAGTAATAATAATAAAAAGGCAAACTTATTCTGTTTAGCGCAAAGAATGTGCCCTCATGACGATACACTTACGTTGGTGGTTAAAAACATAATTTGAGGGCTTCCCTGGTGGCGCAGTGGTTGAGAGTCCGCCTGCCGATGCAGGGGACGTGGGTTCGTGCCCCGGTCCGGGAAGATCCCACATGCAGCGGAGCGGCTGGGCCCGTGAGCCATGGCCGCTGAGCCTGCGCGTCTGGAGCCTGTGCTCCGCAACGGGAGAGGCCACAGCAGTGAGAGACCCGCGTACCGCAAAAAAACAAAACAAAACATGATTTGAGTTTTGAGAGTAATCCCTTGCAAGAACTCAATTATTAGTTGTAAGGGTCTTAATTTTAATGTGAGGCCTACACATAGAGGGTGCTACCAGGACACCTAGCCTGTATTTTTCCTAAGTACACTGCATGAGCAGTCTTATTAGAGACAGGCAGAATGAGATATTAGGGGGACCGTTAGAAATGCTCTTAATATTTGAGGGGCTGGGACAGTGAATCATGGAGATGCTTGTTTTCATGCTGGCTCCTTAGCTCTGGAGACTCTGCTATTTCCCAGTTTTGAGGATTCTTCCTCGATGTCTCCTTTATGTTTCGAGGCCTTTCTGTTCTTTCCTACCCTCGTGACCGCTACTGCAAAGAGCCTTTTAGGTGATCGCCTCACCCGCTCCCCACTGCCTGTTCATCCCATGCTCCCGCCCTCCCAGAGCAGAGCGTTCATCCTCCATTCCCAGCTCTAAAGAGCCCTCACATGGCCCACGGCCTCCAGGACAGAGTCCACGATCTCGGCCTGTGACGAGCCGCCTTTCCCTGTCTCACCCTCCACTTTTCTCCTCCTAGGCCCTCTGTTACAGCAGAGCCCAGGGATTCGTCTCTGAACGTGCCTGCATAATTCCACTCCTCTCTCTCTTTTTTTTTTTCCTTTCTTTTTAATGTCTTTGTGCTCCTGGGTTAGTATTCAATTAGCTGAAATTCCTTGATGATATTAATGAATCACACGTAAGGATGTCCCTTTCCTTGTAGGATGATATCCGTCTCATTGAATTTTGTCAATCTAATTAGAGAAAACTTTTATCTCAACATTTTCATTTGTATTTATTTAATGAAATTGTGTCTTTTCAAATGCTTGTTGGTCATCTGCGTTTTTCTTGTGAATTATTGTTTCATTCCACACCTCTCTTTACTCCCAAAGTTCCCCTCTGGACTGGACTCAACTCCACGGCACCTCTTCCGGGAAATCCTCCCCCATCTATTTCCCCAAGCTAGATGCAATTTTAACTTCCTCTCAACCACCATCATTCATTGGTTTAGATGGGATGTATTTATTTCAAATTATATTAGGGACCACATTGTATTCATCTCTGTGTCTACAGGTAGACGAAGAAATAGACGTAATGACGATTTCTATTCCCAAAGCTAAACATCACTCCCTGAAGAACCAATGAGCCTCAAAGAGTTTTTTAAAAACCACAGCAGGAGCTCAGGTGATGTCTGCAGGCCTGCTGAGGCCCAGGGCTACCTTCCCAAGGGAGCACAGCCGGCACTCTACACTGACACTCCCTCCACCCACCTGCCCTCGGGGATTCATCCACCCTGAGCTTAGAACTCCACCCAAGCTACAGTTCCACCCGACAGAGAATCAAAATGTAGAATCAAAATGTACGTGAGGTGACAAAAGACTCAAGTCCTGAAGAGACCAATTTCTTCCCCAGAGTATGTTTCTAAGGAGGAAGAAAAAGGGTATCTGTTGCAGAGGCTGTAAGTTAAATTCTCTTTCTCCAAATACATTTTTCTGAAAGTCACCAAACTCTTTCAGAACCAACCTCTAAAGAGTGACGTTGATAAAGAACGACACTGATGCAACATTTAACTGTGGCTTCCAAACTCAGTTACCAACTATTTCATATACTTGACTGACTCATTAAAAAAAAAAAGAAAGATGTAGAGAGACAGTTTGATATGGCACAGTGGGGTTCTGGAGGTCCAAGCCTGTCTCCCACCTGGCTGAATGTCCTCAGATTAGTTCTTAACTTCTCTAAGCCTCAGTTCCCTCCTTTGTAAAATTAGGATAATATTACTAGGCACGTGATAAGACTGAATGGATAATGTGTGTGTGAAACACTTAGCACAGAGCCTGCACACGTAAGGACTAAACAATTACAGCAATGATAATTTCAGCTAAGACAAATAAACTACCGAGAGAGCACAGGCTCTGTATGTGGAAAGAGGTAGGTTAGTTGGTACCTCAACACCAAGATATTCAGACGGGCCTTTTACCAGTCCCCCATGCATGTGTTAGATGTTAAGTAAAGACTATTGTAGACAGCACTTAAAAGTCCAAGAATGGCTAAAGAAAAGCCTCCTTTTACACATGCATGCTCTGGACACTGTGTGAGTTTGAGCCTTGGGTGCATCTAAGGATTTTTAAATTTTCTGTGTTTCTCTAATTGTTTACTGTTAGCTACAACTGAGTCACCATGTGTCCTGGATTGCCCCAGACATTCAAGGTTTAAGCCAGTTGTCCCAGCGTAAGTATTAAACAGTGACCCTTCTCAAGTATGTTCTGATTTTGGACAATGATGCATATGGTCACCCTATATAACAGAACCTTCCTTGCTTATATGAAGAAATTTCTCTGCTTTCACCCATTGAGCAATCTCAAAAACAACATCGGTGCATTTCTAAAGCTGCTTGTTCACATTCTGCAAGGAGCCTGGGACCGTGGACAACTGGGCCTTGTGTTTCCAAACAGCTTCAAAGGGGAAGATGGGTTAACCTCGGGAGTGCTGCCTGTGATCAAGGGTTTGCATTAAATTTTTATGAGTAAAAGTAAACTTTGAAGAATGAGAGCCAGTCCTAACAATTTGAGAAGAGCATTTTTCAATTATCTTTCATAATATGAAGGCACACGTAGTCAATAATTTACATTTAAAGAAGGCTTCCAACTAACATCTTTGGGCCCCAGTAAGTCCCAGCATTGGCTTTACTCATTGGAGATAAACAGTTCAGGACACTATGAAATTAAAACACCACCATCAACACTCCTTGAAGCTGGATAAAGAAATAAGAAGTTTCAATAGTTACATTAAGACAGTTAGCTTTTATAGGATTCAGAAATATTATTCTACTTAATCTCTCCTTAAGACCTCGGGACTACAAAAGGAGTCAATTATGTTGACATAAAAACTGATTTTTTTTTCTCCCAAAGTAGCAATAAGTATGCATCCTCATGCATCTGTAAGGGTCGCCACTTTGTCTTTCTTTACCATTTCTGAGAGCTTATTTATACAAATTAGATAGAAACCATATTCAACCAAAAGCTTAAAAAATATTTACCTAGATATCTGGTTAAAATATTCCGGAATAATATCACGCAACACTGCAAAACAGGACGACGTACTGTGTACGGTAGAATCAAATAAATAAATACGCTAAAGAGTATTTTCCAGTATTCACTGTTACAAAATCATAACATCTCCTGATACAAACAACTAGATTGTATAACGTCCCCACCTCGCTTTTTAGAACCAGCAAAAAAAAAAAAAAAAAAAAAAAAAAAAAAAAAAGGTGGAGAAACTCAGCAAAACAAAGTGGCGAGAAAAGTCGGGGGAGGGGCGCTGGAAGCGAAGGGGCGGAGAAACACGACACCAAGGCGGTGATATCACCCACAGCCAACTGCATGGAATTCAGAAAGTTAAGTGTCACCCAGCAATTTCAGTCCGGGCTTGCGGCGCGCCTGCACAGCGTGGCGGCGGCGGCACCCGCCTGGGAAGCAGGAAGGGGGAAGGGCGGTTTGACTGAGTTCGCTCGGGGGCAGCAGAGGCCAGGGCCACCCGCCTCCCCGCCGGCGTGCGTTCAAGCCCCGGGTCGGGAGCGTTGTCCATGGCTCTGCAATGATTTCATCGTTTCGGAGAAGCGACCGCCCGGACCGCGGCTGCCACGTGCCTGGTCCGGCCCCGTGCGCTGCGCCGGGGGACGGACCCGGACGCGGCCGCGGTCACCGCGGGTCGCAGCGGCGAGCGGAAGGAAAGGGCTGGCGCCCGGAGAGGGGCTCGGGCTTGCCAAAAACGGGCGGGGGGATTGCTTCACGGAGACGGCCGGCCGCGGGGGGCTGAACTCCTGCGCACCGCCACCTCCCATCCCCGAAAGGGGGAAGGCCGGAGTGCCCGGCAGGTTTCGCAACTCCGAAGGCGGATGCAGGCGGTGACCGGGCGGGATGGAGCAGTAGCGCTCTCCCGGAGACCCCGGCCCAGCCGAGACCCGTTCCCGGCCTGCGCCCCGCCGCGCAGTGCGCGCTCCCAGTGGCGTGGCCGTGGCGGTCCGGCCCCTGCCCAAGCAGCGGGCCACCCGCGTAGGGGACAGTGGCGGCCGCGGGGCCCGGCGCCGCGCAGGTCGCAGCCCGCCACTCCTTCCGCGTTCCGTGCCCTCGGCGCCTCCTCCCCGGGCCCCAGAGAAATGCTTGTACCTTCCACAGCCTCCTCCACCATCTCGTCGTCGCTATCCATGGCGGCTGGGGACCCTGCCCAGCTCGGGGCCGCGCGGCTGCCTCCCGTCCCTCCGGGTGCTCCCGGCGGCTGAGCGAGCGCTGGGGCTGAACCCTGCGAGTTTGGAGGAGGAGGAAGAGGAGGAGCAGTCGGGGCTGGCTCGCACTGCCTCCCCCTAGAGCCCTTTCAATTCCTTGGCCTTAAGCCGCTCCCGCAGCAGCCGTCCCTCCTCCTTCGCCCACTTGCCCCTCGCTTCCGAGGCTCCGGGGTGCCGCCGTGGCCGCCGCCGCCGCTGCAACTTTCTCCTGTAATACCCCCTCTTTGTTATCGAGCAGCTGATCCGCTGACATCACCCAGCGCCGGTGCGCTCCCTCCCTCGCTGATTGACAGTTCCCCGTCCCTTCCCAGAAGTGAGGCTCCTTAAAACGAAAGACGCTCGGGGTCCGCGCTGACGCTACGCCCCAGCCCACCAGCCCCCGGGCCCATCAGGGTTAATCTTCTGCTTCTGCGAGGCTTGGTGCGCTCGGAGCGCCAAGCCTGGTCCTGGGCGCCGCAGGCTCCTCGCGGGCACTTGGGACCTCCGGGTATCCGCCCTCTGGGGCTCAGAACTCCGACCTCCAACTGTGCCGGGGACCACTTGGAAGTCCGCGTGCACTGCCCGCCAGTCCCCCCTCGGGACAGCCTCCAAAGAGCAAGGCAAGCTAAGGCAGCGTTCCTAAAGCTCCAGCGCCTCAACTTCCTCTCGCCCTCGCCCCCACTTCACCCCGTTTGCCACCCGGAGCTGCACGAGTGCGGCACGCACTGGAGAGCAGGTGTCTCCGCGTCGCCGCATCACATCCGCGAGCAGGTTTCCCAAACTCAAGGGGGTGACATCCAGCCCAGATGCGGGTCTGCGGCTCCCACCCGTGCGCGCTGCGTCCCCACCCTCCTTGGGACCGTCAGGCATCTCGGGTGATTCAGAAATTCTGCAGATCCAAATGGCAGCGGGCTCTTTATCAGGCAGGAAACAAGCGGCGCGGAAGGCCTGGTAGTTCCCTCCTCGCGCTTGTGGTAAAAGAAAAGGAGCCACCGAGCGGAGCTACTGAGGAGGGACCCTCCGTCTGGCGCGCCTCCCCCCCCCGTACGTGTGATGTCCCCAGCCGTCTCCCTGTTTCTCCAAGTGCCAACCTTCCACAGATTCGGGCTCTTTAAGCGGAGAACATCACGGGGCACCCGCTTCGCAGCCCCGCCACTTAGCGTCATTATGGCGTTGCCTCTTACAGGTGGCGGCAAAGGGCGGCTGTAAATAGCTGGTTAAATGGATGCAAATGTACACAATGTGCCGTGGAATTACCGGGTGCCGCTTTGGGTGTCTGCCAAGAACAGCTACTGCACGGAGGGGGCGGGGG